GGGACCCCCGCCAGCCACCAGCCTCAGCTCCACCGCATCTGCACCGGGGCACCGGCACGGCCTCAGCCCTGCCGGGGGATGCCCTGGCACACGGCGGGTGTCCCGGCATGGCCAGCCTCCCCACCTCACCTGCGCAGGTCACCCCCACGTCCCGCTCGTGGCCACAGAAGTGCTGTCCCCAGCCGAAGTGGGGACACTCCTGCAGCAAAAAAAAACCCAGCGGAAGGGGGGACAGTCCTGCAGCACCGCCTCGTTGCCCACGCAGAAGAAAGGCTGGAGCCAGATCCGGCCGGTGCCCTGCCCGAACGGGGCGTAGGGGGACGCCTTGGCCACCGGGCCGCAGCCCAGCTGCCGGCACACCACGGTGGCCCAACGGGCATCCCAGTCAAAGTCGTAGCTGCAGACGGAGCCCCACTCGCCACCGTGCTTCATCTCCACCCTCCCGGCGCAGCGCCCGCCGCCATCCACCAGCCGCAGCTCCCCAGTGCCTGCGGCAAGGAGGGTGCTGAGCCCGGCCTGGGGGCAGGGGGTCCCTGCCCCACAGCTGCCCCCCACCCCGGCGCTCACCCCCACAGAGCTGCACGCACAGGAGCAGCCCCAGCACCCCAACGGGCACCATCCTGCCGTCCCGGCCCCCCCAGCGTGGGGTGGGTGATATATAGGCAGCGCGGCCGGGAGCCAATGGAGGCGGCAGCACCTTTTGAGCCGTTATCAGGCGGGTTATCTCCCAGCTGGCAGGGCCCCGGCCTCCAATAACCTGCTCCGTGCCCAAATATGAGGCTCGGCTCCGCTTCTGGCGTCACACACCTCGCCACGGTGGGTCGGCACCCGGATGTCCCCGGGGGGAGCCAGCCCCCCCTCCCAGGGCACCTGCGGCCGGCGTGAGGCGCATGGGCCCTTCCCACCCGTGTCCCCCCGTGGGGCTGACCCTGCTGCCGGAGCCCGGCAAGAGCCCAGTCCTGATGGCGACAGGATTCACCCCAAAATCTACCAGAGCCTCCACAGGGCCGCCCTCAGCACCGGCACGGGGCAAAGCCCAAAGACCCCGTCACACCGGCACCCATCCTTGGGGTGCTCCCCTCCCCGGGAGTGCCTGCAGACCCCAGGGGGGCACCGAGGTGAAAGCCGCCCCCAGGCTCACCGCGGTGTTTGCAGGTGGCACGTCCCCGGCCCCTCGCGGAGGCCGGCAGCACATGGCGGTGCTGCCCGCGCTGCCTGCAGGTGTGCCCCCGCGCTCACCTCGCAG